ACTGTTGGAAGGAGTACAACAATAACAACTGTCGGAAAGAGTACCACAATAACAACTGTTGGAAGGAGTACAACAATAACAACTGTCGGAAGGAGTACAACAATAACAACTGTTGGAAGGAGTACAACAATAACAACTGTCGGAAGGCATATAACAATAACAACTGTCGGAAGGAGTATAACAGTAACAACTGTTGGAAGGAGTACAACAATAATAACTGTCGGAAGGCGTACAACAATAAAACTGTCGGAAGGAGTACAACAATAACAACTATTGGAAGAAGTACAACAATAACAACTGTCGGAAGGCGTATAACAATAACAACTGTCGGAAGGCGTACAACAATAACAACTGACAAAATAAAACAAAATGTAAGTAAGAAAATCAAAGATATTAAGGTTGTGAGTTAAGGCAAGGTATAAGATTGACCAAACTACGTAACAGTAAACGGTGAACTATTCAATAAGTTATAAAACAACTAGGCCTAACTTTACGAAGATCCGCTTCAGGTAAATCCCTTCCTTTTGTAAACCAGAGCATGCATCTTCTACAATCTAAAATTAAGCTTACATATACACGCATACATAATAAAGAACAAGTTAAATAAAAATTATAAACAATTAAAAACGGAACATGAAAATATAGTTGTTATTTTCTAACTGAACGGTACCTATTGCGACACATAGTCTAAACGGCCAGGCCAGATTCCCCCACGGTTCAGGCATAACCATCCCTAATTTAAAATTGTTGACCACAAGGAGAACAACCAATCAGAAGCACTCGCCGCCAACACGGTTACTCTTAAACCAAACAGCGAAATTATCATGCCATTACAGCTTAAAGCACGGAGCGTGTAACTCAATATATACAGCGGCTCGAACCTTGGATCTTGCGATCTGCATCCCGGCAAGCTGACCATTCGGCCACTCCCATTCCCAACATAAAAGGGTAATAGATAAGTCTCGGAAAGGTGTCGATTTTTCACCCAATCAAATAAGTAAAACTTTTCCCGCTCTTAATTTTATTTCGAGTGTAATACGTGCCACCAAGTTGATTATACGACCAAAAAGGAATGAATATAAAAGTACGGCCGAAATGAAGTGATCTAGGCCAAATCTAATTTGTGATTAATGTTTGTTTTTTTTAATTTCGCGCAAAGCTACACGAGGGCTATCTGCGCTAGCCGTCCCTAATTTAGCAGTGTAAGACTAGAGGAAAGGCAACTAGCCACCCACCGCCAACTCTTGAGCTGCTCTTTTACCAACGAATAGTGGGACTGACCGTCACATTATAACGCCCCCACGGCTGAAAGGGCGAGCATGTTTGGTGGGACGGGGATTCGAACCCACGATCCGCATATTGCGAGTCTAGCTCCCTAACCTTTTACCAACGAATAGTGGGACTGACCGTCACATTATAACGCCCCCACGGCTGAAAGGGCGAGCATGTTTGGTAGGACGGGGATTCGAACCCACGACCCGCATATTGCGAGTCTAGCTCCCTAACCTTTTACCAACGAATAGTGGGACTGACCGTCACATTATAACGCCCCCACGGCTGAAAGGGCGAGCATGTTTGGTAGGACGGGGATTCGAACCCACGACCCGCATATTGCGAGTCTAGCTCCCTAACCATGCAGGGTCTAATTAGTGATTAAAGGTACGGTTTGGAACAACAATCTATTA